CACACTGGGGCAGGGTGGAGAATTGGGGTCCTGCTGTGGGGAGGGCACATGGACACCCAGAGGCATCGAGCAGGTGACGCCTGGCACTGGCGGTGGCTGCTTAGGGCTGGGGAGGCATCCGGGAGGCCGCGGCTGGGGGGGGGTCTGTGCCCCCCCCGCCACAGTCTGGCTCACCTGGGTGTGGCAGGAATAGCAGCAGAGACATTTGCTGCTACTGGAGGCCCCGGGAGCTAGGCGGACCCTTCAGGGGGAACCCACGGGCAGGGGGTACGGCTGCGGCCTGGGTCCTTACTCCGTGATCGGGGTCCCCGGGAGTCCCCGCGACGGCAGAGTGTGGGGCTTGAGCTCGCATGAGGGGGCGCCATGGAGAAAGGCCCCAGCTAACCACGCTTCCTCCTCAGACACATGAAGATCCACGAGAAGGACCCCCACGGCACCCCCTCGGCCACCCCCCCATCCCCCCTGAAGCGCAGGAGGCCTTCGTGCAAGAGGAAGCTGAGCCATGACGGCGAGTCAGAGAAGGAAGACCCAGGGCCCCCCAAGAAGGTCGGCACCCCCGCACCCCGGGCAGCGGGTGTCCGCCTGGCCCTCGGTGCTCCCTGAAACGACCGGGTGCGGGGTGCGTGGGCAGGGTGGGTCCCTCGGCCCCGGCCGGCGACCGCGCCAGGGTCGCCCTGACCCCGCACCCCGTCCCTCAGATGGTGGAAGGCGGGCCGGCGGGCGCCCTGGACAGGGCGGGCGAGGAGGTGTGCCAGTGCCCGGTGTGCGCCAAGGAGTTTGTCTGCAAGTACGGCCTGGAGACCCACATGGACGCCCACTCGGACAACCCGCTCAGGTGGGCGCCGCGTCCGTGGCCTGCTCCCGGCCAGGGTCCGGGGGCCTGACGCTGCGCCTGGTCCCGGCGTGTCTCTGCTCGGTCCTGCCCCTGCGGCTGGCGGCACCGTCTCTGCCCGTCAGCGTTGCTCCCGGCAACTGGGGGATTAGTGCAGCTGTTGGGGGGGGTTTGGGCAGGCTGTTCCCCACCCCTCCGGCCCCTGCAGACAGAGCCGGGAAAATGAAGCGTGAAATCCCTTGAAAAGAGGAATGTCAGTCTCCACTGAGACACTCGAGCCGGAGACGGTCTCCCGGGAGTGGCCAGCGTGGCTGCCTCTCCGGCCGGGGGTCCTGGCCTGGCCCGGCGCCGGGCCCAGTGAGGCCGAGGGCGGCCGCGTGCTTCCCGTCTGGAAAGCGAGTCTGGGACGAGGGTGGCAGGGTGGCTGGGGACGCCGCTGCCGCCAGCCTCCTGTTGCCCCGTCCTCCAGCCTGGCTCCTGGGGCCGTCCGTGGCCCTGGTGGGCAGGGGGCGCGTGCTGCTCCGTGGGGGCGTGGCCGTGCAGTGCTGTGCGCAGCAGGGTCGGGCGCCAGGGGCTCGCCGACAGGGCAGAAGTGCGGCCTCCCGGGGTGCGAGGGGCCAGGGGCCGCCCTCTGCCCTTCCTGCCTCCACGGCGGCTGGACAGAGGACCGGACAGCCCTGGAAGCGGCCCCTCCACCCTGTGCCCCGGGGGGCCCAGCCACTGGCCGGCCTGGGTGCAGCCCCGGAGCCCCACTGGGGCCCCTGGAAGCGGGGCTGGGCGGGGCAGGCCGGGCAACCCCCAGCATCCCGCCTCCGGCTGCTCACGCAAGCAGAGTTCCCTCCCAGGGCACTTGTGTCCGAGAGGCTCGGGGAGCCCTGCGCCCTAAATTTAGCCAAAGGATGATGGGGCCTCGCGCACCCGCTCGGTGCTGGGCCGTTGGGCCGCCTCCGGGGCCCTGACCTTCCTGCCAGGCAAAGTGACGGCCTCCCATCAGCTGGTGCTGCAGCCCTGTCGGGCCGGGGGTTCGGGGGAGCGCTGGCCACCTCCCGGCGGCCCAAGGGGGCTGGCCCCGCACGGCCCAGGCAGGGACAGCCATGCGTCCCAGCGACCGGGGCTCAAGACTCATGTTCCGGCCCCCACACCCCTCTGAGCAGTCGTGTCCCAGCCCCACTGCTCAGGGTCACCTACCCCCATGGCCCCTCCCCCAGTGGCGAGACGCCGGGTCTTTGCCTGTGGCTGCCCGGTGCCCGTGTGTGGATGGGCCTCCCCCTGGGTCCAACTCTCTCCCCGTGGGCCCTTGAGCTTCCGTGGCTGGTGTGGTGGTGCCGTGGCTTGTGCCGTGGCTGGTGTGGCAGGTGTCACCCAGGTGCCTGTTCCACGCCAGTGCAGACAGCTCCGGGTGGGGCCATCTCTGGAGTGACGCGTGGCCTCTCCGGGGCCCCCGCTGGAGGCCAGCTAGGGGACCGTGGTCATCCTGGCTCACGACGGGCCTTGGCACCCACGGCGGCGCAGTCAGGCCTGGGCCC